ACTGTTGTATGAAGTATTTGTACAAATGCCAAATAGATCTATGTGATTGATAATGGTTTTGGTAAATTCCTAGGGTGGCCATGTCTAAATACCAGCTTTCATGGGTTGAAGTAATGCAAGTGTACTATCTTAGAGCTCTATTCCCTAGAAATCCCACATTGACCTGTTAGCAGAAACAAGCTACTTTTGAAAACTTTAAGGAAGGATTTTTCCTGCCCATTCCTAACTGTTACTGATTTGTTGGCCATTCTTGATCTGCTTGGTTTTCAACTGCAGCACTTTACGCTCTGCTTGCATCATTACATGGCATTAGTCTCTCATGAATGTGACCCATCTTCATAAGAACAGATGCCCTAGTTGGGGAATGGGTCCACCCTGTTCAAAGAGGATACTTTTAATTGCTAAGATCACAATGACTCTCATTTCAAACTCAGTAAAATTTGGAGGTACTGTTTAAGTTCTAACTTAACCATGTTTAGAACTTAAACATGTATTTGCCTGGAAGTAATTTGACCCATAACAGAAATGATTGATTCACAAGTATACTTTTTCTTTACTTCCTGATGGATCTGTCAAGTGTTATAAATGAATGCTGAAACCTTCTAGTGTAAGAGTAGAATAATTTCTCATTGTAGTTTCATCAATTTTTTGTCTATTTTGTTTTTTTTTCCTTGTATGCTCCTTCTCTTGCCATTTAGTAACAATCATGTTCCTGCAGTAATTGAGCCTGTGTGTTTTAAACAACCATCTCCATACACTTTAGACCCATGTCCACAGTTAGGAAGCCCCTGGAGTGTTTCTTCAGCAAACCAATATACTGACAGTTACTCTATATTTCCCTAGATTGCTATAAAGTCATAATGGAGGTGGTATCCATTGATTTGGGAGGAGACCAACAAAATTATATTGCTGAGGTAATGTGACCCTTCTTTGTCTAAGATATGTGTTGTTTTATGCCTTTTAATTCAAATTCCTTCATAAAAATATGACAGTGTTCATTATAGGTGACTCATAGGTGGTGGAATTACAACTGCTCATCTATTCCCTGTGAGAATGATTCAACATGACATTCACATATGAGAACAACCATTGTCAAATGATTGTAGTGAGCATTTTCTTCAGTCTCACTTTTTCTTGATAGAACAAGAATTTTGTTCATGTCATCAAATTGTACCTGAGAAATCCCTCATGCAAAGCTCATGTCTTTTCACAGATGCCCTCTGCCTTACTTTGTGATCTTTGCCCTAAATGCTGTTTCCCATCTAGTTAACTAATGTCACCATAGCCAACAGTAGACTTGTGAAAATGATCTCCTGCTCACACTGTCTTCATTTCTGTAACTACAGGTAGCCTCTGCAACAAATGAGGAAAGTAAGTATTCTCAACTCTCTAATATGCTGAGGAAAACCTGTGTATTTAGATAGGTCAGATATTCCTTCCTGTTTCTATGTAAAAAGTTATCCTGGATTTAGATTATGTTTGGAAATGAGGATTGGGATATGGTGACAAAGTGATAATCCAGTGAAGGATTGTGGCCATCTACCATGATCCTGAAACAGCTGTCTTTTGGGTGGTGTGCATTTATGTGAATGAGCATGGGGCGGT